CCAATAACATGACATGTCCCGATTCACCAAATATGTTCTCAGTTAGTGGGCACATGTATTTTAATTTTAACATGCATTTCATCCTGCATCGTTCCTTTCAATGGAACATTAATTGCTGCAACGTAGACCATATGCCCATGTCCTGCACGCCCAATGCTATTCTATCTCTTTTGTTTGGACAAAAAAATAGAAATATATATCTATTGCTGCTAGGTGACCAATACGTGTGTATATAGTATACACTAGAGATGTGTACAAACATGTAGTGAGAGTTTGAGTCAATTCAGAAATCTTAAGTATTGGAACTACAAGAAAGCAGCTAATTAAGATGGCTCAAGTGACAACTTTTTTTTAATGTTTGGTTTTTTTAAAAAAAAAAATGAGAAGGAGAAAAGAAAAGAAAGAAAAGGAAGAGGAATGAATTCCCCTCCCAAGTAGCAAGGAAGCTTCTTTGTAGTTTTATTATTATTTTTGACTATTTATTTCAACGTTCCATAATTCACCACCGAACAAATAATGTTTTATAATTAATAGGAGCTGTGGAGGCGTTTGGATTTGTTTTGAGTGTATAAATAAGGAGGCTTGTTAATTACTCTCTCCCTTGTTGAGGAAACTTTTGTGTATGAGGAATTTGATTTGTGCTGTGAAATGAACCTCTACGATAGCATAACACTTGTGCTGCACTACTGAGAAACCTCGGTCCGCTCTCACATGACTGCCCATCTTTTCCATGCATGCATTTCATCTCAAGAATGGTGGGTATTCGTCGTGAACTTGAATGACCTTCCCGGAAATGATTTCAACACCATTTTCAAGTCTTTATTGCCAAGTTACCAACAACAAATGCTTAAAGGATGATCTTTAGCACCCCATTTGATCTTTGCTCCCCATCCATGAGAACCCCCCTGAATCGTTGCTCTAACCACCTCAAACCTCCTTTCACCTTGCTTTCTCGCTCTAATGTGTTACCCAACCATGGCCATAATGCTGTTCCCTGCACTGATACCCACCCAACCAACTCCCATTCTCACCTTACTCCTCTCAAAACTAAACCATCAACCTCATCCAAACCACCGCTCCACCCTGCTTCCAACGCACCAAAGGCTCCTGCCAATCCATTGTCGTCTCCCCAAGCCCCTAAGTCCCCCACCATGAAGCAAATGTGGGAAGCACGTTTACGTCCAACCACCAACTTTCAGCTCCATGATCCCCAAAATATACTTTAAGGCATCAGCATCAACGATACTCAATGCATGATTGATGAAATCTACAGACTTAGAGTTGCCATTGCAGAGTTCAGGAATGGTACCACCCAGTCCAGGCTGCAAGAGGAAGTTGATTGGCTCAGAGATCTCCTGGGTATAGCCAATTCACGCAACGCTGAGCTTCACAAAGAATTGATCTCACTGCATAGGTTTCTCTTTAAGGACAATGATCCTCATCTCCTACCTGACTCAAACCCCCATCCTCCAACCAATGAACCTCCCTCTACCCATCTTATCCCCCAAGCCAAACAGCAATCTGATTTTCCAAAATTTAAAACACCCATCACATCCCATCCAACTGACACTCCACCTCACCCTGCAACTACTTTATCCCAGAACCATAACAATGCACAACCTACTTTAGTTTTACACAATGGTTCATCTGAAAACACCACCCCTTTACCCGTTGCACAACCCCAGGCTAATATCCAAATTTCAAACATACACAAGATCCCAAACACCCCCTCTCCAACCTTACACAACCATCCAAACACTGATATCCCTAACCTCACCCCGCAAGCCCAAAACTAGGCCAATCATCCACCACCCATCTCTGGACACATTCCAAGAAACTTAGAACTAAGTGCTGCAGGTTCAGAACATCCTTCTAAACGCCCTACCTGGGCATCAGTGGTCAAGAACCCACTTCCCAAGCTATCCCTTAGCTACCATCAACACACCAACCCTGGTGAGTGCCTCATTTCACCTCCTGATATTGAGTCTGTAGGGTTGTCTTCAATGAAGTCTAGTCTTCTTGGTTTCTTTGTTCATAAGAGATTACCTTTTGGAATGGTGCAATCCATTGTTGGTGATCTATGGAAAGACAAAGGGCTATTGAAAGTTACAAGCTCAACCAAAGAGCTATTCGAATTCCATTTTTCATCCTCTGATATGTGTAACTTGGTCCTTACTGAGGGGCCTTGGTTCTTTGGAAACAAACCTCTTATCCTAAAATCTCGGGACTCAGACTTCAGTGTTGATCATGGAATTTCATCCCTTCCTATATGGGTCAAATTCTTTGGTATTCCTTTACATTACTAGACTGGACCAGGGCTCAGTTTTGTGGCAAGTGCTGTGGGCAAACCACTTTTTGCTGATGAATTTACAGAGAACAAAACCAAAACTAGATTTGCTAAGCTCTGCTTTGAAATGAACAACAAATCCTCATTCCCCAACACCATTAAATTGAAACTCAGCTCTGGGAAGACGACCACCATTAGAGTAGAATACCAATTCTGCCCACCAATTTGTGCATCTTGTCATTGCTTTAGACATACTTCTCATTTATGTCCTACTTCATCTTTCCCTCTCTAACCCACTACCTCAACAGATTGGCAATTAATCCCTTACACTCATCAGTCCCACATAAAGGCCCTGAACCCACCATCCCTCCCACCTCAGTCAACCAAAAAGAATGTTGTCACACATTTCTTCAGCAACGATGATAAGCTCATCATTGATTTCTCCCCACTGGGACCATTACCTACCTATAATCCATCTTATGTTGCTCCTGAAACTGGCAGCCCATCGCACTCCCTTAATTCTTTCTCAGCTTTATCAGGTTCTGAGGAGAACATATCAACTACTGAATCTTCCTCTTCAGCTGAAGAATCCTTCTCTATAGCTGAGGAACCCTCCTCTGACACCCCACTCCTGTCTATGATCAAGAAGAAGAAGAAGAAAACCCTTAAGGGTCCTTTCCAGCCAAAGAAAGGGATTGCTATCCCATGTGGTAAACTCCTCAAAACTGTCAAATGGTCGTAGCAACTTGGAATATCAGAGGCTTGAATAGCCTCAAAAAACAGGAGGAGGTCGAGGACCTAATCAGGGACAATAAGGTAGATGTGTTATCCATCATTGAGACCAAAGTCAGTGTGGTCAATGTGGATCTGATCCACAATTTCTTGGCCAACTCTTGGAATATCTCTCACAATTATCAGCATTCTCCCTTGGATAGAATTTGGATACTTTGGAATCATAATTATATTGAACTCAAAATTTTACACTCAACTAGACAACTGATCCACTACCATGCCACCATTTTGAGTTCAAGGACTTCTTTTTACATCTTCTTTGTGTATGGAGCCAACTCAGCTGCTGAAAGGAAAGGTTTGTGGAGCAGCATTACAAGTATCTCCACCAATCTCACCTCATTACCATGGATGCTAGCTGGTGACTTCAACATTATCCACTCTCCTCATGAAAACTTTGGTGGATCCAATAGAATCACCCAAGCTATGAGAGAGTTCAGGCAGTGTCTTTATGATAACAACCTTGAGGACCTCAACTTCACTGGCCTTTTGTTCACCTGGACTAACAAAAGCACAGGTGTGGCCAATATCTCTAGGAAACTGGATAGAGTTCTGATTAATGGAGCATGGAACTCAACCTTTCCATCTTCTACCTGCCATTTCCATCCTTATGGTCTCTCTGACCATTGCCCTATGGTTGTGAACCTAGGCACTCCCTCTCCCACAAGGAAGATCGCCTTCAGATTTTTTAATTGTTAGAGCAATCATGACAATTTTCTGCCAATTGTTAAGGCTGTTTGGGAGAGCCCAGTTAGAGGTTTCACCATGTTTCAAGTTATAACCAAATTGAAAAACCTTAAACAACCTTTCAAGCACCAGTTAGCCACTTAATATAGTGATATCTCTAAGAAGGTCCATGCTGCTAAGGAGAAATTATCCAACTGCCAAGTTAATCTTGACAGCCTTCCAAATGACCCCTCTCTCAGAATGCAAGAAAAAAAGCTTATCTCTGATTACAAGGAACTCAAGGTTGCTGAAGAACTCACTTTCAAACAGAAGTCTAGAGTGCACTGGCTCAAAGTGGGTGACTCTAACACTACTTTCTTTCACAAGTCCATGGTCTCTAGATTCAACAGGAACAAGATTACAAGCATCACTGATTCCAATGGTAACCTTCTTGAAACTGAATCACTTATAAAACAAGAGGCACTCAATCACTTCCACAATGATTTGGGTACTAGCTCACATGTCTATCCTGGAACTACCCATCTATCACAATTCATTAACCAAACCATCAATGCCAGTTTCATCCCTAACCTTATAGCCATTCCCTCAAATGAAGATATCCACAAATGTATGTTTTCCTTGAGCAATGACAAGGCCCCTGGACCTGATGGCTTTAATGCAGCCTTCTTCAAAAAAGCATGGCCTATTGTAGGCCCTGATGTAACCCTTACAATCAGAGAATTCTTTGTTTCTGGTAAGCTGTTGAAGGAGGTCAACACTTCCTCTATATCACTGGTCCCCAAATCACCCAACCCTTCCACTCTCAATGACTTCAGACCTATATCATGTTGCTCCACCATATATAAATGCATCTCCAAGCTTTTAGCCAACAAAATCAAGCCCCTTTTACCCACCATCATTAGCCCTTCACAATCAGCTTTCATATAAGGCAGATGCATTGATGATAGCATTCTCCTTGCTCAGGAACTCCTTAATGGATACCACAAGTTCTCAAGCTCTCCTAGGTGCACACTCAAAATAGACTTGAGGAAGGCATTTGATTCCATTTCCTGGGTTTTTTTTGTTGGATACTCTGAAGTTACTTGGGTTTCCTGATTTATTCATCTCTTGGGTGAACTCTTGCATTACCACTACCTCTTTCACTATCTCAATCAATGGTGAGTTCCATGGATTCTTCAAGGGAGCAAAAGGTCTCAGGCAAGGAGATCCACTCTCTCCCTTCCTTTTTGTCATTGCGATGCAAGTCTTTTCATCCATTATTGACTCTACTATTGCCTCTAACCCATTCAAGTTTCATTGGAGGTGTAAGGAACTTGGCCTCACTCATCTCATCTTTGTTGATGATGTGATGCTTTTCTGCCATGGTAGCCCTCCCTCAGTCCAATCCCTCCTCTTAGCAACAAATATCTTTGCTAATGTTTCTGGTCTCCGTGTCAACCACAACAAAAGTACCGTCTTTCTTACTGGGGTGCCACCAAATGTCGAGTCTGAAATCCTTGACCTTGTGGGTTTTGAGAAAGGGTGCCTTCCAATCAGATATCTAGGTGTGCCACTTATATCCACTATGTTGAAGGCACATGATTGCAAAGCTCTCACTGATAAGATCACATCAAGAATTACTCACTGGACAAGCAAGTTTCTTTCTTTTGCAGGAAGCTAGACTTCAGCTTATAAAATCAGTCCTCCATAGCATATAAATCTATTGGAGCTCCAAATTCATTCTTCTAATGTCCATAATTAATGAACTCACATGTATCTTTAGGGCTTTTTTATGGTCAGGCCCAGAACTTAAAAAACATGGGGCAAAGGTTGCATGGCACTACATCTGCCTTCCCTCAAGGGCTGGAGGTCTTGGAATTCCATCTTTACATTCATGGAACAGAATAGCCATTCTTAAGCATCTCTGGAACATCATCCAGGCCAAAGAAGGTATGTTATGGATTAATTGGGTTAACACATACCTCCTTAAAGGAAGGAGTATTTGGGAGGTTGGCATCCCTAACCAGTGTTCATGGACCTGGAGAAAACTTCTTCAACTCAGACCAGCCATTAGACCCCTTGTCAAATTCGAAATTGGAAATGGTATCAATACCAAATTCTGGTACGACCGTTGGTCTAGTCTTGGCCCTTTACATCTGAAATTGCCTCCACACCAACATATACCCCATTCCTTTGATGGTAGAACCACTGTAAGCAAGTTTATTACAGGTTCAACATGGTCCTTTCCAAGAGCAATCACCACACTCATCCCTCAACTCACACAGCACAGTTCTCTCCCTAATCCCAATCCTGCCTTACCTGATAGAAAGCTATGGATTCCTTCACCAAATGGTAAGTTTTCTATTAACTTTACCCTGAAATTTCTCTCTAGACACATACCTTCTCTTCCTTGGACAAAACTGGTGTGGTCCAAACCAATGGTTGCCAAACACTCCTTCATTCTCTAGCTAGCTGTCCAATGTCAGTTATCCACCAAAGACCGTGACTGCACATCTCACTTGAACTCCCCAAATCTCTGTCCCTTGTGTGATTCCATGCCAGAGTCACATAACCACCTTTTCTTTCAATGCTCCTTCCACTCTCCCATTTGGACATTCATTCAAGCACGTTGTGGATTCCATGTTCGGCCATCTTGTTGGAATGAATTGGTTGCTTGGGCATCGCATCATTGGAAGAAGAATGCATCTGACTATAGAAGTTCCATATCCAGACTGGCATTTGCAGCATTTGTATATAATGTCTGGTGTGAGCGCAATAGGCGTATTTTCCAAAGGAAGAGAATCTCCTCAAACTCACTGCTCTCCAGAATCATTGAATCAGTTCGATTAAAGCTGATGGCTGATCCTCCCATGGATTCCCCAGTCAACAGAAGCATCCTCACTAATTGGGATATTCCTTGGTCCATCTTACGTCCTCCTCCTAGGCCACCGGATTGGTCCCCAAGTATGGTGGAACTCCACTTGCTGCTAACTGCTGTGTACCGGAACGGTGATGGAAACTTCATCATGATTGAACCCCTGTTTGTTGCTCTTTGGGCTAGTTGTCGTACTATGGTTGTTTATCCTTGTACCCCTATCTTGGGCTTTTGTTAGGCCCACCTACTGGTCCTCCTAGCCTCTCTCGGGCTTACTGTACTTCCACTTATTCAATGGAATTTAACATTTATTTTCCAAAAAAAAAAACTTTTGTGTATGAGGTTCATATTGATTGTGATTATGTGATTTGTTTGAATTTTTTATTAATCATCTCTCTTTGTGCAAAAAATAAAAAAATTCAAAGAAACGAATTCTTTTTTTTTTCCGTTAAAGGTAAGCTTGTATATAAGAATGAGGAATTTAGAGTGAGCCCCAAATGGGGAAGACCAACAAAAAAGATGCTACAACCAAAACAAAATTTGAAACTGCTACATACAAAATATTCCATCCATTCAAACTACCACCTTCACAGCAGCAGCAGCAAATATTGTCTACATAGCCTCACCGCAGTATTCCAATAGAGCTTTCTCATCAACATAGCTCAGGGTAGGAGCAAGGTTTGTCCGCATGGTGTGGAACATCCCTCCTGCTGAAATAGAGATTGTAGCTGAATTTTAACTTGAGTGTTGCTAGTCTGGCTCTCACACAGTTTTTGACTTGTGCAGTGACGCTGTGATAGGGTGTTGCTTGGTTATTAAAAGCTCTAGCATTTCTTTCCATCCAAATAAAATACACTGCAGCTCTGGCATTTTAACGAATTCTGATGTTATTAATGAGAAATGAATGATAACATGCTGAATACTACAACGATTATTTATAAAGATAAAAAATAAATAAAAAATAAAAAGAAGGAAAAAAATCCTAAAAAAAATACTAAAAATAATTCAATTTGGCACCGTTTTTAAAAATTACAAAAAAATAAATTCCTAATTAATTACTAAGTTAGGCTAACTACCAAATTTTAGATAAGTACGAATCCGTTTAAACCTTTTATAAAATTTTGAAATATTCGACAATCTTTCCATATAACACCAAATTTGGCTGGAAAAGATGTGTCCAAACTAATAGAATAGAGCATAGCAATGAGCATTAGTTTGAGTTTAAGTTGTTTTTTGTCGAAAATAAATCTACCCAGACACTAATCATCGAAACTGTACTAAAAATCAATCTACATAACGAAATTCGGGTATGGATCTACTATGGGCTTAGTGTGGACAACCGCCCCGACTAAATATTTTTTTATTTTTATATTATATACTCATTAAATATTTATTTTTTTGTATTATATATTTATAAAATTTTAAAATTACCCCACTGAAATTACAGAAATCCCTACTATATACACGTTTGTCCAATCTCACATAATTTTTCTAGGTCGGGCACTGTCTAAACATGTGATAGCTTGTGTTCCTTTCCCTCATTTAATTACTGTATAGAAGTCGATCACCAACCGCAACTAATAAATAAAGGAAAATAGAACATGCCACAATGGAATCTGTGATGAGTGGAGGTACTGAGCAATCTTCAAACCCCTGATCTTGGTCGGCTCAGTGTTTCAAATGTTCGTATGTTTGTGTGTGTATATACTGTGTGTGTTTGTCTATATATATATATACAAACCCACAACCGACCCAGTTAGATCCCTCAAGCTGGGGAGACCACTTTTTGATTTTATTACTCCATTTTTGCCATAAACTGCAAGGAATCTATTACATTTGGTGGCTAATAATCATTGTAGCAGAGCTCACAAACTTTCTAAAGGGTATATATATATATAGGAACTGCAAAAAGGTAATGTAGGCCTCTGCCTGTAAGCCTGTAAAGTTGAGCTTTTCTTACCCTAGAAAAATAAAGGAGAATATAATGTAGTTATATATGGTGGAGCGATCGTGCATAGAATATAGTAATGAATGGTGGGGAGTACGTACTTCAATATCTACTACTATACTTTAAACCAATTGCAACCCTCGAGTGCATTCAAAGGTTACACAGTAGGGGGGGGAAAAGTTTACAAAATGAATAAATCAGATTGAAGATCCAATTACCTTTTTTTTTTTTTTTTTTTTTTTTTTTTTTTGCGGTAAATCAAACACAATCAAAGAATCGACAGAAAATATAGAATCATGGATTACACAAATTAAATACAAAATTTTTCAAAGTTTGACTTGTAACTTCTTAATTACATCCCCACGGTAAAAATCGGTGAAGAGTTTAAGAAGTAACAGGATTACAAGTTTAAAACTCCCAACCCTTTGTCTTTCTCTCACAAACTTTCTCGACTTTCAATGTTCACTCTCTCTTGAACACTACAAAGCCCAGCATTTCGGTTACAAAGGCTACTAGAATTCGGCTCCAAAGAACCATAAAAACAAAGCACAATAACTATCAAAATGAAGCTACACCTCAACATGATGGATGTTTATGTAATGAGAGATCATTAAAATGTCTGTAATTAAGTGATCAAATTTGAGTTTTAGAACTACCTAGTTTTATTTTTTCTCGAGGGCTTATTTGGGAACCATAATTACTTTGTGACCCAAAACAGAAGTAATATTTCTGTTTTGAGATGTGTTCAATACTATTCGGAAACATGTTTGGTATCGTATGTTTGTTGCAAGATTATTTGACACGTAAATCTTGTATTTTGTGTATCATTACTTTCTTAATTTTTTTTTTTTTTTTTTTTGAATCTCCATGTCCAATTGTCCATACCCTAACGGCTGCCCCAACATGGGCAGGGGAAAGCAGAACATAGAGAACTAGCAAAAGCTAATGAGGTAGTGTAATCTTTTTGTTCACGGTTGTGTTAAACTCTAAAACAAGCCATCCAATTTTCCTCTTCATTCATACGTACAACTGATAAACCCTAAAAAAAAGCCGTCCAAATCCCCTTTTAATTAATTTCCTTTACTTTGCTCATCTTTTGTCTCTGGAATCTTCCCATTACTGTGGACCTTCACATGCATGCTTCTTAGCTATTTTCTTGTATAAGCGGTACAAGAGGTGGTCCTCGTGCCTTTTTCATATCCTCAAGTACCTTTACTGTAAAAGCAGTAGTAGTAGTGGTTCATACTTGCCTGTGTATTCAAATGGTAAAATAGATTCAGGAAAAATAATTTTTTTTTATATATAGTGCATTTGCATGGGGAATGCAAACAAAGTTTTGACAGAGTATCCCTACAATCCTAGGCTGTGAACCAACACATTGACCTGATTTATCTGTATATTATATCTAAAGAATCTCCCAGTGGTGAGGACCCATACATGGTTCTTTCAGCTCTATAAGTACCCAGGAGATGGAGAAGTCCAGCATCAAGCTTTTCTCTCTGTCTCTCTCTCTCTCTCTCTATCCCTCTCTCTCTCCATCTCTCTCGCATCCCCCCTCCTTAATTCTCCCCCTCTTCCTCTCTCTCTCTCTCTCTCTCTATGGCTCAAACTAAGTTAGTATTTGCTAGTGTTTTCCTTGTACTGATTTTTGTCCTAGAAATTCAGTGTAGTGAGGGGAGGAATATTCAACAGCACAACAGCAACATGCAAGGTGACAGCATAAATAAAACAGCTCCGGCGCCACCATTGGCAAAGAGTAAAGCTGTAGACGAGACTCGGCCACCGCCAGCTGGTGACGATTTCAGACCTACAGCCTCAGGTCACAAACCTGGTTTTGGGCATTTCCTTCAAAACTAGGGCTAGGCCGCTAGGCCCGGGGAAACTGTCATAATATGTCTACAAATATATGGCCAGTTGTGTGTGTAATTTATTGTTATATAAAATGGATTTAAGTAATCCCCTATCATGTGTTTATGTAATGACATGTAAATTTGAATTTGAATGTATGTCGCTAGCTATGTAGTTTTCATATAGAGTTGCATTTATTATATGACAATGGTATTCATGGTTTTCTATTTCTTTGTCTGTACAAAACTAAATAAATAATACATAGACTTGTAGAGGTTCTCCTTCCTCTCCATCGTTTGCCCATATGATTGAAAAAAAAAATAAATAAATAAATAAATAAAACACACATTGCCATCAGTTTTATCCTCCATTCTGCTACACCTCACTGGAAAGTAAAAAAGAGGGAATTTAAATGTAATAAACCACCTAAAGCACCACGCTTCCTTTCCATAAATCAAACTATAATTTTCACTATTTTTCCTAGTTTCGCCAATTCTTTTTCTTTACAAGAAATACATCCTCTGAATCTACAAACCTGTGTAACAATCCCCACCCGCATATCAAATACAAATACATACTGATATATTTGAACATAAAGATATATATCCAACTAACATAATATCAGACCTTGTAAATCAAATGAACCTCCATTTTCATGTAGAAACCCTATAGACAATGCAATGTGAACATGAAATTTGCTCCAATACACAGCTCAACCTATTTTAGAAATGAGATGATCACTCCTATAATATAAATTCAATCATTTGAGGCGAAAAAAAAGGTGGCTATACGATTAGTGGACATGACCATTTTGTTTCAATCCATTTCCAAACAATTTTTTTTTTTTGCTATGAGACCTGTTTTACAGACCAACAAAAAATAAATAAATAAAAATAACGTTTATAGCTTTTGCAATTTATTTTTCATAAGTGTATAGCTTTTTGCAATTCCTTGTATTAATTTGCTGCAACTAAAAGGATGAAACTACACAATTTTTACTTCTCTCACACTTTCCTCCACTGGCAATCATAAACAACTCAATTCTACTAAATAACAACTCATTTCAGTGATATATCAGTCACATTGATTAACTTTCATATAACTACATGTATCATGTCTTTTTACTATCTATTTTTAACCTTCCCTAGTCCTTAATGTATATACTATGTCAATCTTCCTCATTAATACAGCTATTGGTCTTCACTGTGTGTGACCAAATCATTGCAGTCGGTGTTTACTCATTTGATCACCAAAGAGTGTTCTACTGTCTCGCGAATACATTCATCTCTAATTTTATTCTTGTCAAAATATTCGTATATTGACCGTGCTAATTTTGTAAACATGCCTTACCCACATAATACTATTTCTTATAATGCATGTTTGGTCTTATTACTATTCTACAGAATTTTTCTTTCAGCTTTATAGCGTACATCAACCACACA